GGGGTTATATTAATTTTACTCTGAAGTAGATTCCTTTGGTGTTTCATATTTGTGTATGGCGCCCTCTCGTGTCCAGAAGCTCTACTCTCTGGAGCTGCTCAGCCCCTGAAGCTATGTCAGGGTTCACAGGGGAGTGGTGTTGGTGCCTGGGGGGAGGAAAGAGATGTTTCCTGCTTTCTGGCTGCTATGCCTGTCTCCACGGCCTGAACCAGTGGACCGAACACACACGTTTAAGCTTTTGTCCCAGAGCAGCTGAATACGGATCCCTGCTTTCCACAAGTGGCTGGAATCTCAGTCTCTCCAGGAATTTTGCCTGTCTTAACTTTCCAACACCATAATCACGAGAGTATCATGAAAGCACCATGAAATGTAGGTTTGTGCTCCCAGAGCAGATCTCCGGAGTTAGGTATTCAGCAGTCCCAGGCCTCCACTCCCTCCCCCACTCAGTTTCTCTTTCTCCTGCCGGTGAGCTGGAGTGGAGGGAGGGCTTGGGTCCTGCCGGGCCACAGCTTTGCTACGTTACCCTGTTCCATGAGGTCTGCTCTTTTCTACAGGTGTATGCAGTCTGGCACAGTCCTCTTTCCTGTTTCTTTCTGAGGATTAGTTGTATTAATTATATTTTAGCATTATATGTGGTTTTAGGAGGAAGCCTCTGTCTCACCTCTCATGCTGCCATCTTTAATCCTCTTCTAATGCTGTTTTTAATTGTAATGATGGTGCATTAGTCAGGTCAGGCTGTATAAGAAATACCACAGGGGGGCAGCACATGACAGGCACTCATTATTGTCTCCCAGTCCTGGAGGCTGGCAGTCTGAGATCAAGACGTGGACAGGGCTGGTTCCTTCTGAGGCCTCTCTCCTTGGCTGTAGGTGGTCGCTGCTACGGCAAAGCGGTGTGTTTCCTTTCTTTTCAGTCCTCTACCTCGCCTCTGGCACTTCTGATAGCCAAATGTGTGTGTGTGAGCTGGAGTGTTTTCCCACAGCACCAAGCAATGCTCTGACACCAGCTGGGTGTCCTACACTGAATTCCAACCCTACCTACCTGGAGACAGCATGGGACCCCAACGAGTGAAGGGCTCAGTCCCACTATTCTATATTCACCATAAAATTGCTAGTTTTCTTCTACAGTTATGTCCAGAGGCATTTGAAGTCAGGTGACACATTTGGTCCATCTCCTCTTTGAAGCCTGGGGAATGATTGTTTCCAAGAGATGCTCCTGTCCTTGAAACATTCCTGAGGGGCCAGAGGCTTATCTAGCCCTTCAGAAGATTAGAATACATCCAAAAAGAACAGAAAAAGAAATTCTGAGCCGGAAGTGAGGGAGTCTCTTATTTTCCACAGAGAACCAAGTCACTTGTCTCTAACTGTATTTGTCTGTATTGTCAGATTCTGTCTCAGGAGTTTTACAAATAAGGGTGCCAGCCCGTCCACAGGGATTCTGAGCTGCCCAGCACAGTGTGTTGTGAAGTCCCCTTGGAGGAAGGAAGGGTCCTTGTAGCCCTGCTGACAAGTTCAGCTTCCAGAGCCAACTTCTCCTGGCAAGTAGTTCCCGGCCTGGGGAACAAAACCAGTAACACCCTAAGGAAGCAAGAGGAGGAGCCCAGAGGACAAACAGGGCTCCTTTCTGTCAGGTGACCCATCTGATGCTGCAGCATTAAGTAAAGATGCTGCAGGAGGAAAAACTTCTAAGTCGTAAAAGACCCGTTCATCTTGTTCAGACTCTGATTCAAACAATCCCAACTTTTAAAATAACCACTTTTAAGGTAATAGAAATTTGAATATGGACTGGAGGTCAGATACATCAAGGAATTAGTGTCAATTGTGTAAGACAGGCAGTCTTGTGGTTATATAAGAAATACCCATGGTTTTGGAGCTGCATGGGAAGGGTGGGAGCCACTCTGAGCCACAAAATTGCCATAATCATTATTTTAAGATAAAGACACTTGAGACTCAACAGATACAGAAGAAAGCCTCCTCAGGGCTTCTCTTGTTTGACTAAACGCAGCAACTTCTGTGAAATGAAGCTGCCACAAATCCCCCTTCTGGGGTAGTTCTATGATCCTGAAGACAATGGTAAGACCACTCAGAGCTGTAGAGATAAACATTATCACAAAATTTCTTATCTCTTTTTTCTTAAAAACTGTTTGTCTTTCCTAAAGAAACCCAATTGTTTGTCCTACAGAGGTCATCCCCCACTTCCCTTTCCCCTACTAAATTAGGTTTGTAAGCCTTTAACCATTAAACAAGCCGGCTGTTTCCTTCGTTGGCTCCCCGCTGGATACAAAATAAATTCAATTTTCTCCTGTTAATCTGTCTTTTGTCAGTTTAATCTGCAGGCACCAGTGTCTGAACCTAAGAAGGTAGAGGGAAAAAATTCTCCCCTACAGAAGCACATAAAGGTGAATCTAGTAATGTCTGGGGTTTGTTAAAAAAAAAAAGAAAGTCTTCAGCCAAGAGAAAACAATGACACAGATGAAGCAAATACAGTGAAAGGACCATCTGGCCAGTTTATATAATGGGCCCACTATTCTTTTGGGTGTTTTCTTGAATTTTTTTGTATTAAAGTTTTTAAAAGTCTGTGATTCTATTTTCTAAATTGAAAGGAACCCTCAGCCCAGAATCCCCTCACGGAGATAAAGGACATGCAGGGGGTAGGATGGGTTTGGGGGGGAGGAGGGGCTGGGAACAGCGCTCCCTCACTGGGCAAGTTACCTGCGCCTCACCCCCAGGCGCTGCCCGGGCCGCACGGCTGAGTGCCTGCCCCTGTCCTAGCCAGGTGGTCTGGCAAGGAGACGCCACTCAAGAAACACTCCATCCGCGCGGGGGAAAGCCGGCGGCCTACACCCGCGGCCTGGCTGTCTACACTCGCACGTCTTGGCGGTGGCGCGCTTTTGTTCCTCGTCTTTCTGCTGCGGCCTGAGCCTCAGTTTCCTCATCCGTCGGCTTCCCAGGGACTGGAACCCGGGACGCTGGCAGCCACGGGCCAGGCCTAGGTCAGGGTTGGGGTCAGTGACCCACTGACACCACCTCTCGGTCCTGGCAAGACCCTCCCTAGGGGGTCGAATCAGTCCCGTGCCCCTGCAGGAACCAGGCCCTCCCCTCCTAACCCGGGGTCTGGACGCCGCCCGCTCCCCTAGCCCCGGCGCTGGCCCAGAGGGGCGCCGCAGCGACCCCCTGCACTTCCCCCAACGGGACGCCCACCTGCTGCCTTTTCAGCCCTCATGCTCCCTCAATGCGGGGTCCACCTTCTGCTTCCAGCTACCCATACCCCCTTCCCCCCAAGAGCCACCCAACTGGCCCTTTTCTCTCCCCGACAACAGGGTCAGGTCGCTGTCCTTCCCTTCCCCGCCGGGCTGCCAAAACCCCCTGCCCCTGAACCGGCACACTTTTCCCACCCCCCACTCATGGCCAACTGTGCGCCCCTCCCTGCTGGCCCCCAGCCCCCGGCTGCTGACATCCCCGCCGAAACCCTCTCCGCCCCCATCCCCTGTCACCACCCAGATAACGAGCCTCATCTGCAGCCGCCCCCGTCCCTGCTGATGCCACAAAGTCCGGCGCCCACCCGCACCCACCCCCAACCCCCGGGTTGTCTCCGTCGCGCAAACGCAGGCTTCCCGGGCAGTCTGCGCCCTGCGCTGGGGTGTCTGGCGAGATGCGGCATGCACCCCTCTCCCCGGTGGGTACCGGCCCCTGAGCGGGCGGCTGTGATCCCCCTGAGGTTGTAGGCTGGATCGCAGCGTTGGAGGCGGTTATAAACTGGAACCCAACAGGTGAAGTGGAGAAGCCCCGCGTTATACGGGCACATTCCTGGGACCGAGGGCAGCCCGTCCCAGTCACTGATCCTGAACTCTTGGACGGCTCTCCGCCCCCCACCCCTGCCCAGGCCCGAGCCGGAACCCAGCCCACCAGGCCCACTCGCAAAGGCACCTGTTTGGCGGGCAGCAGGGCGCACCTCGGGAGGAGCTGAGAGCAGAGGGAGAGACCGAACCCAAAGGCTGAGCGTCGAGACAGCCCCGAAATGCACCCATGCCAGGGACTCGGGGATTGCAGACTCCAGCCGCGGTCACTTCAGATGACTGCAGAAAAGGGACTTGGCTAGAGCTTGCAGCTCAGAAATGGTGTTCTAATCCAGCCTAGCTCTGCCCTGATAGCCAAGCTGTGACTGCATGGAGGTTTTCTCCAGGACAGCAGGTCACTGGTGCTCCCACCCCAAAGTGTATATGCTTGTGAGTATGTGTGTGTACTTAGGTTTATATGCGCACATGTGTGTGTGCACTCCCATCTTTGTGCACCTGTGTGTGTGCATATGTGTGCATGTGTGTATGCACCCACACTCCTGCCTTTCTGCACTGCACCTTCCCGAGGAAAACCACATCTGGATGTGGTTACAACAGTAGAAACAGACTTTATTCACAAAGGGGAAGGAGAAAGAAGGGGAAAAAGATCTCAGCTCTGACAGCTCTGCTCTGATACAGGGCAGACACGCGGGTATTTATGGCCAAGGAGCAGGATGCCCGTCTGTGATGAGAAACCGAGGGGAAACATCTGGGTAAGAAACATCTAAGAATTCTGCCTATCAGGCAGGATTCTTGGGGAATTTTGGATGATTGAGATGGACTTGGAAGTAAGTCCAAAGCCTGCTTGGAAAGTTCCAGGAGGCTGAGCAGAATCTGGCCAAGCAGAGAAGTTTTGCCCACCCTGCTTCAGAAAGCAAGAGAGATTTTTCCTCTTTGTCCTCCTTTCCTTCATGTTGTTAAAGTAAAACTGATTCTGGCACTTGTTAAAACGCTAAGGAAGACTATTCATAGTCATATCGACTATGCAACAGCAGAGGGAGATGGGGTAGGGGAGGGGGGTGTCACCCCCACAGTGCAGCAGCCAAGGAGCAGGGCCAGGGGTCAGTGAAGTAAAGTCACTGGGGACACGGGGAGGGGTTCTCCTGCCATAAGAGCTCAGAGCTCCCAGCAAAGGGTGTGGAAGACTGTCCCTTACCCAGGAGCCATGGATGCTGTGGAACTTGCCAGAAAGTTGCAGGAGGAGGCCATCTGTGCCATCTGCCTGGACTACTTCACCGACCCAGTGATGACCACCTGTGGCCACTTCTGCCGCAAGCTCTGGCTGACCTGGGAGAGGGCCAAAGGCAGGAAGGGGAGCAGGAAGTGCAGGGGCTCCTTCCCCTGCCCTGAGTGCCGTAAGCTGTCCCCCTAGAGGAACCTGCGGCCCAACCGCCTGCTGACCAAGGTGGCAGAGATGGCTCAGCAGCACCCCAGCCTGCAGAGCCAGGACCTGTGCAAGGTGCACCAGGAGTCACTCAAGCTCTTCTGCGAGGCAGACCAGAGCCCCATCTGCATGGTCTGCAGAGTCCCGGGAACACCGGCCCCACAGCGTGGTCCCCATTGAGGAGGCTGTGCAAGAGTACAAGGTGGTCTGGGGCAGGGGCACAGGGAGGCTCCACTGCAAACCTGTGTAGGAGAGCATGTCAGGCAGAAGCAGGGGCATAACAAACAGCCATGGGTGCAGGCCGCACAGAGGGTGGTCTCACTTCCCAGGAGCTTCTGCTTGTAGTTGGATAAGGGGAGTCCTGGGTTGGAGAAGGCTTCTCTGCAGTTGGTAATTCTCAGTTGCCTGAAGCTCAAAATAATTCTCCTGTTAAAGAGGCACATTTTGTGGCAGCCTAGTTCCTTCCCTGGTACACCCTCAGGATGGTCTTTCAGGTGGAGCCACCATCTGGATACAGCAGTGTTGGGGGACACTGATGCGAGGTCCTGCCGTCCATGTGTGCCACAGTTGAAGCTGGAGAAGGACCTGGGGAGCCTTCAGGAGGAGATGGCAAAGACCGAAGAGCTGCAGGCCAGGGAGAAGGAGCCATGGCCAAGTGGCAGGCAGGTGCTGGGGGCCATGGGGTCACACACAGAAGCTGGGTGATGCGCGGCCCACCAGGCTCTGGTTCACCCAGGTCCTCGCCCTGCTGGGTCAGCCAGTTTGGGGCAAGGGATGGTCACCGGGCCTGGGGAGATGTGCCAGCCTTCCAGGGGTGATCCCCAAGCCGGTGCAGTGCAGCCTCCACCTGGCCTCCCACAGAAGGCAGTGACAGAGTAGAGGCAGTGCATCCTGGCAGAGTTTGAGAAAATGGCAGTCTTTCTGGTGGAGGAGGAGCAGCACCTCCTCCAGGGCCTGAAGGAAGAGGAGGAGGAGATGCAGCCAAACTGTGTGGGTGCTCAGCCGCCCTGGACCAGCAGCACCACTCCCTGAAGAAGTTCCTGCTGCAGCTGGAGGACAGGATGGAGCGCGAACCACTGGAGATGCTGCAGGTAAGAGCGCACCTGCTCACCCGATGGGGGGCTGGACCTCAGGGTGCTCACATGGCGCAGGTGAGGGGAGCCGTGGGAGCTCTGGCCCAGGTGTGGTCAGGTGGGCTGACCCACAGGAGTAAACACAAATGACAAACACAGAAGGCTCAGTCAGCTCAGGCTGCTTAACAAACACCACCGGCAGGCTGCTCAGACAGACATTTATCCTCCACACCCTGGAGGCTGAACTCAGATCAGGTGCTGGCAGGCTGGTTCCACCTGGAGCCTCTCTCCTGGGCATGTAGACACTGCCTTCTCCCCGTTTCCCCACATGGCTGTCCCTCTGTGTGTGTCTGTGTCCTGATCTCTTATGTGGAGCCCAGTCTTATGGGATCAGGGCCAGCCTGGTGACTTCATTTTACCGTACTCATCTCTGTAAAGGCCCATCTCCACACACAGTCCCACCCAGAGGTCGGGGGTGATGGCTCCAGCATGTGGACTTGGGGGACACAGTCAGCCCATGACAGGTAGACAAATACGCATTCCCCTCCCAGCCCTGGGAGGTGGCCCACGTGGTGATGTGGGGCAGGGGCCAGGACAGCCACCATGACTTGACAGGCTGGAGTAAGCCACATGGTGGGACCAGAGAAGGTGCAGCCAGCCTGCTGTGGTGGGGCCCACCCACCGAGGAAAGCCCCCTGAAGGTGGTGGGTTACATCAGTCTACAAGGGGGAAGCTAGTTCATTGAGCGTGAGCAGTGACAGAATTCACAGCAAACTACACTACCCACACACGTGAGTCTGTCAGGCTGAAGCCAGTGCCAGGCCCATGTGTGTCCTGGCATGGCCCCTTTAGCGCCTGTTGTCCTGACCTCCTGTGGGTTTTGCCCCCAATAAGAAGTGTCCTTCAGATAATAGGTTACGAAGTCCCCTTGACTTTGGGGAACACTCTTCTATTAAAAAGTAAGCCATTCACACCCTGACTTGTGACCCACTGGCAGCTGGGACCTGCAGTGCAAAAGGTACCATCCAGTCTCCCCACGCCTTTACTGTAGGTTGTGGGTGGGACAGATTCCTGGCCCAGCAGACAGCAGCACATCAGACTCGTAGGAGTCCTATGAGGCCAAGGGATGGGGGTCCAACCTGGAGACAGGAAACAGGCACGGAACACACCAGAAGCCCCTCTAGGTCTGGTGGCCAGAAGTGTAGACTGGGGACACTTGGGGCACCTGATTCCTGGGGGTGCCTCTGGAACTCTCCCTCCTGTTTTTGGCAGGATAAGAAGAAACCCCTGGGCAGGTACATGGCCCCTGTGGTGGAGGCAGTGATGGGCACAGGGGGGCCTCTGCATAGGGCCAAGGGGACAGTGAGACTTCTGTCCACTGGAGGAGGGACAGCCTGAGTGTACAGTACCCAGAGGCCATCCCCACTGTGCTGAGGACGGTCTGCAGGGTCCCAGGACAAATAGAGGTGCTCAAGAATTTCCAAGGTAAGTGAGGGCTCAGGTACCCAGCAAGCCCTGCCCCAGCACTCACTCAGGCAGCAGCCCCCAGCTGGGGTCCTGAGCTTTCTGGGATGTTCACTCTGTCCCTGCTCCCAGAAGAGGCTCTCGTGATACACTCTTCTGATAAGTGTCGAGGTGCTCAGAAAGCCCCCCAGCCCCCATCTCCTAAGCACTGCCAGGGTGGACATTTGGGTGTAGGTCAGGCAGTGACTTAGCTGCGGTTACCCCAGGGAGGAGGGGGGTTACTCAGCCCCCTCCTCCCTGGGCCTGTCTGCAGAGGATGTGGTGCCTAACTCTGCCACAGCGTACCCCTACCTCCTCCTGTACAAGAGCCTCCTGAGGCAATACCTGAGCACCCCACTGGACAGCATGCCCCAGAGCAAGGACAGGTTCCTGGCCTAGCCCTGTGCGGTGGGCCAGGAGACCTTCTCCTCTGGGAGGCATTACTGGGAGGTGGGCATGGACCTCACCGGAGATGCACTGTGAGACCTGGGTGTGTGCAGAGATGTGAGCCGGAGGGACAGGGTCCCTAAGTCCCCCGAAAACGGGTTCTAGGTGGTGCAGCTGTGCAAAGGACAGAAGTACATGCCCTCAGCAATTATCCCAAACCCCATCACACTGAGCAGGCCCTCAAGCCACGCGGGCATCTTCCTGGACTTTGAGGCAGGGGGGTATCCTTCTACAAGGTCAAGGACGGGGCCCACCTGCACACCTACTCCCAGGCCGCCTTCTCTGGGCCCTTGCTGCCCTTCTTCTGCCTCGGGACCCCCAAATCAGGCCAGATAGTCATCTCTACAGTGACCCTGTGGGTGAAGGGATAGGGGTACAGGGGGGAGCTCCGGAGTCCGTGTTCCTCTGGAACATGAGGTCATACTGCTGCCCAGCTCATCTCGGGTGGAGCATTTGAAAGTCATTAGCTGTGTAGGGCGGTTTCACAAAAGGCGAAATATAACCATGATTAAAGCTTAAACGTTGAAACTACAGTCCCAGATGCTTCATAGAGGAAACTTCAGGAAGCCCCCGTTTCACAGTGGGTCGATTTCTAAATACATACGTGCAGCGGTTTCCCACCTCTTTACCCCACTTGGGCATAATGTCCACTCGCTCCTCCCTGCGTCCGGTTAATGCATGCACAGCCACCGCCTCAGGTGTCCACCTTCTTCATCCAGAAATTCCATGTTTGTGCCCTTCCCAGGGGAAGACGGCAAAGCAAGACTTTTCAAATTGAATCTCTAAAACACTTAGAGCTGTCCACCCCATCCCTTCCCACCCGTAAAGCTGCACGTGGAGGGGTAAGGATCTTTGGGGCTGGGGGGACGGTCTCTTTGCAGCCCCCCACTCCCCCCGTTTCAAGCGCTTTAATAAACCTGGAAGCGGTGTCAGCACCTCAGAAACTCCAGCCAGTACACCCCCATCTCAATAAAGCCTGAGTGTCTCGTTCTGACCGTGCCAGCCCGGGCGCCTGAGGACACCGGCCCCTGGGCAGCGGGAGCGCTGGGTTCGACATGGTGCTCACCCCCGCCACCGTGTCCTCGCAGTTGCTGGGCTGCGGAGCCCAGTGACCGTGCGGCACTCCCCAGTGGCCCGGGCCCTGCACCCCATTCTCCCCGGACCCGAGGGAGAGGTGGGCTGCACGACCCCAGAACGCCCCGGAGCTGCCAGCGCGAGCACGCCGGAGGCAGCGACCACTCCAGGTCCGCGAGCGAGCCCACACCATCACTGCCTGGCCCGCGGGCCGCGTGACCGGCTGCGGCCAATCCGGCGCTAAAGCGGGTTGATCCAAAAAAA